GGAAAAAAGCAGGGTGTGGCTGAAAACCCCTATGAGAGCCCTACTTTCCTGCAGGGATGTTTTCCTTGCACCCACCTCACCATGCTACCCACTAGATTCCAGAGATACCTGAGACAAATTGATAACAGCTAGGTACTGAAAGCCTCAGCATCTCCACTGCTTGATAATGAACAGCTATGGAAGAGATGCAGTGAGATCTCCATGACAGGCAAAGCTGGGAACCAGAGGCCCGCACACTTGGCACTGGGATAGCTTCATAGGCCAGTGGATGGACCAAGAGCCTGCTCAGCAATCCCTCAGCCTGGCTGCTAGGTGTGCTGTCCCCTGTCTATATTAGACCTCACTCTGGGAGGTGTGCTGGCTTTCCAGGACAAACAGAACTGCCATACTTGGCAACCTGGAGCAGCATCTATTCTTCAGATGGTCAGGAGCCTGGTCTCAGCATGGCCAGCTCCCCACTCAGGTCTTGTTGGAGTCAAACATGGGGCAGGCATTCTCTAGACTGTCAGAGGAATAGCCTTCCAGGTTAAGGCACCCAGGTTCCTACTCCCAAGAGCTTTCAAATCTATCCCTACTGGCTAAAGCCAATTTCACATCCGAGAATCTTTCCTCAGGTCTCAGCAGATGGCCACAGTTCTCTGCCACTGGTTCTCATCATGCCCACTGTCACCCCATCTATGGAAAAATCTAAGAGCTTCCATCAAGAGGGCCTTTCACACACTATGACAGTTATGGAAGCCATTTCCAACACCCCCACCAAACTCTGTAGGTTGGAAGTAGGTCATGGGTGCTACTACTAGCTGTCAAAAGGGTGGGGCAGGGGCCAGTGACACAGGATGCCCAGACCACAGGATGGGTCCAGGGATCCATGAGAGTCTGCCTACCTCAGGCTGCTAGAATGTATACATTCTCCTATGCAATGTTTCTACCTTAAGCATCATTGGCTCGAATGTGCTCTATTTCAACATGCCTTTGGACATTAATTTCACAGCCGGGGGAAGTTCGAGACTTTGATAGTAGTGGATAAAGTAGCCAGTAATGCTGAGATTCCACCAAACATCCAGCCGAGGTCCAGAGTCCAGGACAGGGGCTGGCTTCTCTTAAAGGGAAAGGTGAAATCTTGCAGCCCTAACAGGAATCAGCCCTGTTAGGCTGCCAGGTGGAAACTGTTAAAAAAAAAAAAAAAAACATGGCCACTTTATTTTCAACTACCAACATCTTCATGGGAGCCAACATTTAAAACACATAGTCAGTGTTTGCAAACCATGGGGCAATTTTACTTTTCATAACTGGTAATACTTCTTTGCATTCCTGGGCCACATGCAGTTTATACCATAAAGCTCTCTCCCCGTCCCCAAGGTCTCATTCTGTGACCCAGGCCTGCCTGGAACCCACACTGACCTGAAACTCAGAGGTGGACTTGCTCCTGCCTCCCTGATACTGGGATTAAAGGGCTGTGCTGCCACACAGTCTTCTGACTCTTCACAGTCACAAAGTAACAATGGAGTCCTCACCCAGGGCTGCCAAGGAATCGCTGTACTCCTGTGGCTGCCAATGTCACCCACATACCTCCTCAGGCAGGTTTAGAGCATGGTGCTGAGAGCCCGGGTCCACTGCCTGGCATAGAAACAGAAGCTACTCAACCCACTGCTCCCCTCCCCCACCTGTGAGTGGCCCAGCCAGCCAAACCTCAGATACTGGAGGAGAGAGAGACCAAGGTAAGTACTAAGGGGAACATTCGGTGAATGCAGAATGCTTTCCCAGTGTGGGAGATGTGAAGTTTGCATTTTTTAATTAATCTCCTTGGACAGTGAGCTCCATAAACATCACATAAACAGTCGCATCCACAGAGCTTGGCCAAGCTAGTCTAAGGAAGGGAGTCTCAGTCCAAAAGGCAGAGCTGGAAGAAAAAACAGTGCACCCACCACTTACTGGGGGTCCCCTCTGTTTCCTGTGGGCCAAATGTCTGCAAAGGAAGCCAGAGCAGGCCGGCCCAGTGCCCAGCTTCAGCTGCCTGCTGACTACCAAGGATCTGATGTCAGACAACAGAGAAAGCTTTCCCATAAAATTATAAATTAGCATTTTACAGATTTACATTAAACAAACTTGTTCATTTTAGAGAGTATGTGTGACTTTTGAAATATTAATCTTTGGGATAATCACCTGTTTTGTAATGAACTATGTGAATCCTAATGTTTTGGATAATCACCAGAACTATGTGGATCCTATGTAATATGTATAGAAACCACTAATGTGGAAACTTAATGTCCATGGCTATGTCTCACCACTGGCCAGCTAGAAAACTTGATTTTCTGTTTTTTCTTGTGTCAGCTAAGCTGTATTTCAAGTATCAACACAAAAACATAGCTCTTGTCTCAAAGGAGGTAAAAGGTAGTTTATTCTGAAGCCAAACTTGAGTGACTATGGCCTAGGAAACAGAGAGCTAGGTTACCCCAGTTTCTATGTCCAACAAGGAAGCACTTTCATGAAGTTTTATCATCACAGAACACATAGAGTCATAAACCAAGGCAATTTTAAAATACATCAGAGGAAACATCAGTGAGGTGGTTACAGAAAGAATGGGGGATCTCTCCTATAGGCTTCGTGTGCTTGTCACATGTTGACAATCTTAGTTTTGGGGTTAGTTGTGATATCTTGTTTATGATCTAACAAATATAGTGTGCCTGAAGATCAGAGTGCAAAGCTAGCCACACTAGTTAGCCATAGAGGCCAGGCAGTGGTGGTACACACCTTTAATCCCAGACAGATGCAGATGAATTTCTATTAGTTCAAGGTCACCCTGGGATACACAAAATTGATCCAGACTAAAAGAGAAACAGAGCTCACACAAAAGTGATCCCAACACTTGAAGTGACAGGGCTTTAATCCTAGCACTAAGGAGGTGGATGGAGACAGAAAGGGATATGGCTGTGTGGAGAGAGGAATACAAGGTGGGAGGAGACAGGATCTCAAGGCAGTCTAAGGAGCAGAGCAGTCTGAGGAGCAGTCAGTCTAAGGCAGTCAGTCTGAGGAGCAGTCTGAGGACAGGATTGCCTCTTTGGTCTGAGCATTGGTAGAGGTAAGAACTCTAGACACTCTGCTACTCTGATCTTTCAGCTTTCACCCCCTGATAGCTGACTCTGAGTTTTTATTGTTATGACCTATTAGAATTCATACTACAGTTAGTAGTAGGAACTAGTGTTCTGCTAAGTCAATACATTCCAATACGTTTTGTTTTGGTTTGGTTTGGTTTTTCATTAGTCATGGGATATCAGTTCTGACACAGGGGTGGGCAAGGAAGAGCTATTAGGAGACAAAAGATAATTAGACTCTGGACCTGCAACATTCCAACCCCTCCACCTCACTGAAGTTCTAATGAGTCTCTGAGGATGCAGCTTCTTTCCAAGAACTCTCATCCACACAGGGCCCATGCTGGAGGGGCTTTTATTCTGAGAGGCAGAGGAAAGGGCACAGCTACCATATCTGCAGCATCCAATTGTTCTCTGTCCCCACAGCAGGGAATGCCCAAGAACCAAAGAAGAGGAGTAGCAAGAGGATAAGCTTCCTAGTAGTTGCTGACATTGCCAATCATAGATGAGAATACCAGACTATGGCATCATGTCTCTAGCAGGGTAATCAAGCACTCAGTCCCCAAGGAAAACTTGGTGAAAACACAAGACATCAGCTTTAGTTACACCACATCCTCCCTGAGACATGCTGACCCAACACATAGTTCATGGGTCTAACCCAACCTAGGAATGGAGAACTCAGGTGAGGTCCTCTGCCTCCTCTGATAGGCCTCCCTATGGATGCTGGCACCCTGGCACCCAGCAGGATGGTGGGAGATTTCTCACTCCTTGTAGATCACAGCTGCAGAACAAGGTGTATTTGCATTCAGTGCAGGGAAGCCCTCTGCAGCTCTCAAAAGTGCTTGGAGTCTTGGGCTTTTTTTCCCTAACACAGGAGATAGCTGAACTGACTTGACCCTGGTGACACCCAGGCTAGTATGCAAAACAGCAGCATTGACAGGTTGGTGGTGAATCGAATTTGCTGCTGGCACAGACATCCAGCCTCACTGCGAACCACTCAGTGACCCACAGCACCACATCAACTGCTCTCATGTGGGCTATGTTAATAATTTTAGAAAAAGTCACAACCAGTGTAAGAACAAACAAATGATCATTTGCACAAGACCTTTCAGTCATGGTTATTGCCAGGAAGCCCAGAGAGGCTAGGATGAAAACAGCCAGAGACAGGCAGAAGGTGGACCTGGATCCAAATCCAAGGTTAAAATCATGGCCCATGGCCCACAGACCTGAACTTAGCTGTCTATGCAGAAAAGCAATTTCATGAGAACTGAAATAATGAAATGAACATATGCCTAGCAAGCGCATGTCTGCATCAATTTTAACAAGTTCCATACAGAGTTCAGCAATTGTCTGTGAGTAGGTACCCAAAAAGACCCCATGTTCTACCTTCATCTTTCAAAAGCTGCCACTTGCCATTCCTTAAACATCTCCTATTTCCCTGCACAGTACTGGGCTTGGGGCTGTCTGTGGGTCAAGGCTTTGCAGACACATCTATTTCCTTTTTCCCCAACACGCTAGCTTGCTTTGCAGCTAAACAGCTGTCGCTTTTCAAATACCATTAGCAGTTCAAATGTGTAACCTATGCCTGGAGAACAATATAGGCCTGAGCATCCCCCCACCACCAAAGGCTTCTGCAGGTTAGCTGGACACATGAGAGACTCTTCATCGTGGGACCACATCCAGTAGGATTGTTGTTATGATAACCATAGCTTCCCTCCACCTCTAGACAGAGTGAGTCTGCACATTTTCCTAGATTTCCTCAAAAACAAAAACAAATAAACAAAGAAGGTACAAGCCTGTTTACATCACAATGGCTTATGTTCCTACAGAGATGAGAGCAGTATACTTCTAGACATATTGTCTCCATAAAGAGAAAAAAAAACTCTCAAAAAAAATTACAGAATTTCGGTTCGAGGCGCAGCCGCCACTGCAGCCGCCGGAGCCGCGATGCCTAAAGGAGGTAGAAAGAAAAGCCACAAAGGCCGGGTGAGGCAGTATACAAGCCCAGAGGAGACTGATGCCCAGCTGCAGGCTGAGAAGCAGAAGGCCAACGAAGAAGATGAACAAGAAGAAGGTGGAGATGGGGCTTCAGGTGACCCCAAAAAGGAGAAGTCTCTAGACTCAGATGAGAGTGAAGATGAAGATGATGACTACCAGCAAAAGCGAAAAGGTGTGGAAGGGCTCATTGACATTGAGAATCCCAACCGGGTGGCACAGACAACGAAGAAGGTCACACAACTGGATCTGGATGGGCCAAAGGAGCTTTCAAGGAGAGAACGAGAAGAAATCGAGAAGCAGAAAGCAAAAGAGCGCTACATGAAGATGCACTTGGCTGGGAAGACAGAGCAGGCCAAGGCTGATCTTGCCTGGCTGGCAATCATCCGGAAACAGCGGGAGGAGGCAGCAAGAAAGAAAGAAGAGGAGAGGAAAGCAAAAGATGACGCAACTTTGTCAGGAAAACGAATGCAGTCACTCTCCCTGAATAAGTTAGCTGGCCTGTGGGAGATGCCAGGGAACTGGGCCGTGCCACCAGGACCTCTACCGTGTCTCACCCACCCTGTGCCCTGGCGCCTCTGCAGCAGCCCCTCATGGCCAGGAGCCCCTATAGCCTGGGGCCTCTTCATCTTGGCACAGAAATCGTTCAGGGGTTGTGGGGGGGCTGGGGGAGGGGCAGCTGCTATCTTTGAGACAGAAAGATTGCAGGACAGCATTTCATACATAGCCATTTGAATGTTTCTGTTGTTTTTAGAATTTGGAACCCTAGTTGGAGGTGGGGGGGGGTGCCTGGTAAGTGGGGTAGAGATTCCATGTGTCCAGTAGATTGCACGTTGGGGGTGGTGGGTAGTGTCAGCAGGCAGCTGCTGTGGGAGTTGATGACAGCCAGCCCAGACTGCTGTCTGGGTGCTCACTCAGTGGGGCTGTTGGGAAGCCTGTGCTCCTAAGGGTCCAAGGTTTGTGCCTGGCCAGTTCCGTCCAATGAGGCCTCACCTCTGACTTCTGCCCCCTTCCCATCCACTGGGTCAGGGTTAGTGGCCATTTTTAACCCTACCCATTGATCATTTCAAGAAACCTCTGGTTACTGTGCACCACCCAGACAAGACATGTTCCTCAAATTCAACTTGTATATTTGGCAGATTAAACGACATTATCATAAAAAAAATTACAGAATTTGTCCAGAAAAGTGGAAACATGTAATCATTTATTTTCCTGTCACTATTTATGAATTGCAAAAATTATGTTTGGCCTGTTAAAAAGAATAGTAATCATGGTCCAACCCCCGTGGGCCAGGCATGCATGAGAGTTTTTGTTCAGAACAACCCCTGCTTTGTCACAGGCTCTCAGCCCCTTCCAGCCCAAACTACAATCTCACTGTACACGTGAGACCATCTGTCCCTCTCTCCAAGCTCCACTGGGCTGATGCACCTACTGCCAACGCCCCTCCCACCAAGAGGGACTAGAACAACCTCCTGCCTGAGATCAGTCAATGAGGAGACTGAGAAGGAGTCAGAGAGGGAAAACACTCAGTGTTCCCACTCTTGTGAGCGCTTCAGTGTTTGCTGACTGCGCTACTTTGGAATTGTAAAGGGCTCGCGTGATGTGTGGATTTTTTTATAAAAATCTGTTGACTGGATAATTTTTTCAAATTGTATTCAGAGCATAGAAGCTGGGTAGTGATGCTTGGGTATCCTTTGATTCGATTCAATGAGTACTTATTGGATAATTCCACCCACTCCATTATAGAATAAGGAGTAAACTAGGTTGCTCCCTCACACCGAGACCAGCCTAAAAATGTCTTCCCAATGGAGATCTTAAATTATAATATTAAGATTTCAGAGACATGTTATTCAATTGATTTTGGAGAGAGAGTGGGGGGGTATGTGTGTATGTGTGTGTGCATGTGTGTACGTGTGATGTGTATGTGTGTGTGTGTATGTGTGTGTGTTTAAGACAGGATGAGATAGATCCACAGCTATGAGCACTGTCTGCTCCCAAGGTTCAACTGGCAGCTCACAACTGCTTATAACTCCAGTTCCAAATGACATGGCAGCCTCTTTTGACCTCCACAGGTACCAGACATGCACGGAATGCACAGACATACATACATACCTGCAAAGAAAACCCACACACATAACAATAATAAAATAAAATTCATATGTTTAAATGGTTCTGAAGGCCAGGCTGGCCTGGAACTTCAGTTCTCCTGGCTCTGCTTCCTGAATACCAAGTTTGCAAGTGCACCCTACCATGCCTGGTTTCCCCTGAAGTACTAACAGCAGGTGGAGGCTGCCTTTCTAGGCCAATGGAGACAGCTACACCATCCTCCTCCATAGCTTTAAGGTTTGTATTGGTGCTGATTCAGTCATCTGGGCAATTCTCTTAATAAATTGGGCATTGGGGTTGCATTTTAGGCTCAGCATGACATGGTCCTGTTCAGAGCACACTGATATAGCTACATTCCAGATTCCTACATAGCAGGGTCTATGGGAGATTTCTTTTGGGGATGTTCTGAGTGGACAGAGCCACAGTGGCAGGTTCTACTGGCTGGCTAACCAGGACACGGTTCACCAAGCCACCTGAGGAAGGGAATGGGTAAGTAGTGACCTAGAAGCAGTGGCTAAGTCTCCCTCCGGCACTCCCCAGCTCAGCATCTCTGCATGCTTACCAAAGGCAAATCATGGTTCCTGCCCCTCCAGCCAGGCCTGCAGGTTAAACAAAGGAGAGGTTGGGACATTTCTGGAAGACTGAACTGCTACAAGAAAACAAGAGTACAGATGATCATCCCAGGACATCAGCTGGCCTCTGGCCTCATGCTCTTTCTCACCACCATGAGCCATACCTGCAGTCAGTCTGAGGAAAGCTGACAGTAACCACAAAGGAGCTGAGCCTGAACCCAGCAAAGTGCTGGAGCCACGTGCACAGCTTTGCTGCCTCACTTCCTCTCAAGCTCCAACCCCTCAGTGTTCTGGCATTCTCATAAAAACAACAGGAGGCAAAGCCCTGTCCTCTATGGACTCCACACAGCACCTCTGGTGTGAAGGAGGTCTTCCTGAGTACTTCACTGTGCTCTCAGGAGAAAGTGCATGTCCTGGAGAAAAAGTGAAGTTTTTTATAGAAGTAAACATGAGTGTAAACTATGCTAAATGTCTGAGTTGAGTGCAGCCACAAAGCTAGATTGCCCCCAGGTGTGAAGTCTTCCGTGCACTTCCCCTCCTGAAGACACTGAAAAAGCTACCCTTGGGAGGGAGGTTCAGTGCACTGGGAGCAGGTGCACAGGCTTTGCAAAACCTGCCACGCGTGAACTGCACCTGTGCATGGAAAGAAGGAAACCACTCTGTCCTCATTTGCCTGTCTAATGGGTCCAGGAATCCTACTTCCCTCTCCAGACCAAACTTGACTCTGTGGCTTCACAGAGCACACATTCCATGCTTTAGCCAGCTACAGTCACAAGGCCGCTACTTCTAATGCTGTCTGAAAAGAAAAATCAGAGAACATTCAATATGCATGGGCCAGATGGATTTCATGCATTCCACTCCCGAGGTCGGCAGACATACTCTTCCTCTCTGGCTTGCACTTATGGCAGCTTGGCCCTGGCAGAGACAATAGATCCCTGGTTTGGAAGAGGAGATGGAATGCCCTGCTCCACCAGGAATCCAGAGTGAACAGAGACTCTCATGGCTTGGTGCTATCTGTCACTGTCATCAAATAAATGATTATTTGACCCTGGTAACTTTGACAGTACAGGGCTGAAGTAAGCCACAAGGATGGATGATGGGAGATGTCATTCTGTAAATATGTTTCTCATACTGGTTAATGATAAAGCACTGTTGGCCAATAGGAAAACAAGATAGGTGGGACTAGGAGACAAGGAGGAGAGAGGAAGTAATAAGGAGGAGTCAGCATGTAGAGACCGTGGAGAGCACAACGCCAGCCCCTCTGGTAAGATGAGACCACATGGAAATACTTAGTTTAATAGAAATGGGTTAAGACAGATCTAGCAAATAAGAAACTAGTAACTGGCTGGCCAACAGCATTATATCAAATACAGAGTCTCTATGTGTTATTTGGGGCTGCCGCCACAGTGGGTCCAGACCGGTGGGAAAAACCTATTCCTTACAAATGGAGAGGAAGCTGCTTTTCTATTAACTGCCTATCCCCCAATAGGAAGAGAAACTCTTACTTCAACTTGGACAATGGTTCCTTCTGCCTAGTTACCCTGTAGAACACTTCTCTCAGATGGGTCTGCACCAGCTTTTGCACTAGTCCATTTGGCATTTGTTGTGGATAGAACAACATAACAATTGGCTCTGGTCCCAGTGTGTGCCTCAGAAGCATTTCTCATCCCCCTGATGTGACAGTGACTTCAGGGTAAAACAAATACAAGTATATCTTGCATTTGAAAGAAGTCCTTCCATATTCTACTCAGAAAGTGGGCTGGGAACTTCTGGAATGTTCTGGAGATCAATCAGGCTGTTACTAATGAGAAGACCCAGCCAGGTCCCTGGCAGCTTTTTCCTTCCTTTCAATATGCTTAAAGTTTCAATCATGGTACACACCTGTAAAATATATATAGTTAGAACCTTTCTCAAAATTAAAAAACAAAAGTCCACATATTACATGCAATGATTTTAATTACAGAAACATTCATTTCTCTGGAGAAGACTGCATAATTACTTATAAATGGCAAGACCAGGTACATGCATGAGCCTGCAGTTTCTGCAGACCGGAGAGGGAAGGCACAAGGTCCATACTGATAATACAGCTGTAGCATTAAAAATAGTTTCCTTACTACGCATGAGCATTCTTTCCATAGACCTCTCATCTATGAGGCCTGTGAGTCAGGATGGCCAAGGGAACTGCCTTCATCTGCTCCTCCACCTTGATGCCCCTACACCTCCAAGGTGTCCCCAGCCTCTTCTCGAAGTCTTCCATAGTACTGATGAGCAGTGTGCATGAGAGAAGGCAGGAGGAGGCAGTGAGCCTCTTGGCATCTAAGGAACAAGGTCAGCTGCACTCTTGTCCACACTGATGGATTCAGTCCCCATAAAAGGACAGTATGACTTTCTGTTCATTTTCCACGGCAGGGACAATGAGGAGCCTCACTGAGTGCAATAAATGTTTGGTAGGGGTAATAATGAGGGGGAAAGCAAGTCGCCTGCTCTCATCTGACTAAAATATGAGCTCTGCAGCACTCTACACCATCAGAAAACACACCAGCTCCGAAGAGCTTTCACAGAAAACGCGCAATTTTCAAATGTCACCGTTTTCCAGTACATGAAGATACAGTGGCTGTTTTTATAACTCTCTTTGCCCAACTTTGATAAACTGTCCACTTTAAAACGTCTGGTAGCAGCCTTAACATTTGATAGAAAGTTTGATGTAAGATAATGACAGCTCAACAGGGCAGAGGTAGAGTGAGAATCCAGGGGCACGCTGAGGGATGAAGAGGACCATCAGTCCTCTAAGGATGGGTGCTGTTTTGTTGTTGGGGTGGGGTAAAGGGTAGTGTGTCCTTGTTTTGTCGGGCTTGGAAGCAGGCCCTCTTCACATGCAGTGACTGTGAATCTGCTCCTGTGCCTGTGCTCTCCTTCAATAAGCTGACCCCCATGAGTGAGTGACATATCAGCAGCAACTATACCTGTGCTTGCACAGGACAGCTAGGAGTGTGAGCCCTTGTGTTTTCGAAATTGCACGCACTTTCAGACAGTGTAGTGGTTAGTGTTAATTGTCAACTC